GGTGCCTGCTGGTCTTCTGCCTCTGCTTCCTCTTTTGGATGCCAAAAATAACAAGGGCGAATTCCAGATGATCCTGATACCGTTTTGGGAGAGATTGAGCTAAGAAAATGCTAGGAGCCAGGGAGCGAGTCTTCCTGAAGTTCTGAGAGCGCACGCTAGGGGCCAAGGTGAGCAGCAACCCAGGCACTCCAGGGCACTTTCTGGGGACACAAGATGTAGCACCCTAGCCGGGGGAGGAAGTGCTCTGCTCGGGTGGCTTGGAAGTCTGGTGGCCAACACAGTGCAGAGAAAATATCTGATTTTCCTGGCAAGTGGTAGAGAAGAAAGAAAACCATGGCAAGAGTGTAGCTCAGCTTTGGGAGAGCCTGCCTTGTGCGAGGCCTTGGATTCCAACCCCAGCGCTGAAAAAAGATGACAGACGAGAAAGGGAGAGACACAGAGACAGACAGAGGACGAGAGATAGGGAGAGAGAAAAGAAGAAAGGAAGGAGGGCGGGTGAGCCGTGGAAAGTCTGCTGAAGATGACTGTGCAAGGCCTGCAGTGGAAGCTGAGGGCCCAGGGTGGGCTGGGGGTGGCCTGCTCGGTGGCCAGTCCAGTGTCCCGGGGGCCAAGCTCCACCAGTAAAGCCCCACTTAGTGTTTACAACCCCAAACAAGGCAGGAATGGAAGAGCTGGAGGCAGATTAGATGAAAAGTCACCATCCCTCACTCAGTTCCCAGACCTGAGCTCATCTTCCTGGATGGAACCTCTGGCTGAAGAGGTGGCCCAGCCCTGAGGCGGCAGGACCCACCACGCTGCAGAGTCGGGTACTGATCATGCCAACTGCTTTCACGCTTCTGTTCCTTCCCAAAGGGATGTCTGGCCAGCTCTTTGTGTGACTGTTCACTAGAGAAAGGGAGACTTAGGCCAAGGACTGACAGACAAGGTTTAAGTGACACCAATTAACAGCTGGAGCTCAAAGTGTGATTACAACTGATCATGGTGGTGGATGACTATAACTCCAGCACTGTGGAGGCTGAGGCAGGAGGATTGCTGCAGGTTCAAGGCCAGCGTGGGCTACAGAATGAATTCAAGGCCAGCTTGAACCGTATTGTGAGATTCTGTCTCAAAAAATGAAAACAAAAAAGCATGATCACAGCCCATCTTTCAGAGAGTAGCTGCTGTGGTTTAGCCCTTAAGGTCCCCTAGTGTGTTAAGGGCTTTGTCCCTTTGGAGGCACTATCAGGAGGTGGCAGAATCTTTAAGAGGCTGGGCCCAGTGGAGGTCCTTAGGGCACTGAAAGGACCAGCAAGTCCCCGGCCCAGGCCACTCTCTCACCAATAGCAGTGGCCAGTAGCTCAGGGGGGTGAAACCTCTGTGAGCCAAATCTTTTTTTCTATGAGTTGAGTTTCTGAGACAGTGACTGGTGACCTGTGTTCGGTCAGCAGCCCGGAGGACTAGAAATGAACAGGAGTGAGTAGGGAGAGCAGAGCCGAGGTGTGTGATTGGACATGGGCATGTAGGAGGGCACATGATGTGTGAAGGTTTTTGTGCCACATATTAATACTCACCAGAAAGGATCCAACACAGAGTAAGCAAGTGAGCAAAATGACTTGCACAGTTGACATTAACCAGCCCTTGTCATTGGCCACACCGGGGTCAGCAGAAGGTTCATGTATGAATGGAGTGGCAGAAAACCATACATGGGCACTTGGGAGGCTGAGGCAGGAGGATTGTTGTGACTTCAAGACCAGCCTCGGCCACAATGTGAGCTTGAGGCCAGCCTAAACTGCATAAAGAGACCCTGTCTCAAAAGGATAAAAAGGCAACTCCCACATCCCAGTGCAAATCTGTATTCTCTGCCTGAGTGTCCAATGGAGAAGCCAATGCTGAGCCCTGCTAGATACAGCTCCTTGAGGAGAGCAACTTGGGGATGAGGCAGCTGCATGGGCACTGCTCATCAAGGTCAACTTGTGACACTGTGACAACTCTTCTTGTCTCAGTCTTTGCAGGTAATGACCCTAAGGTGCCCCAGTGGCAGCTGTAAATCATGGTTCAACAGGACCCCTGCTATTGCAATATTCCCTAGGCAAGTACTGTGCTGTGTGAGTTCCACGCCTGAGGGTCAGGCATTCTTCACGTCCCTGGGACACGGTGCTGATGGCGGCTCTGTGGTTAGGGAAAGGCAGCCCAGAATATATCCGCCTCCCTGAGGATGGGCAGGGGCACGTCTGCCTTGTGGTCTCTTGGCTCTTCTAGTCTCCTGGTATTCTTCTCATTGGTTCCTGCTTCTCAGAGGATAGAGACTAACACCTGTTACTGCCAGTGTGTTTCCAGGATCAGCAGAAAAAGTGTCAACTGGCTTCCTAGAAATACAGGACATGCCCCACCCCACAGCTACTCAGTCAGGAATACCCAGTTTTATTTATTTATATTTGGGTGACATGGACTGAACACAGGGCCTTGTATGTGCTTAGCACCTCTCTGTTGCAGAGCTGCCTCCAGCTCAGCTCCTAAGACCTTCATTTTAACAGATGACTCATGAGTGGATTACCATTTGAGAAGAACTGATTAAGGTGAGTTGGTTTTTTAATCAGAAAATCCTTCACATCTCAATTTGAAACCTGAGTCCTTGCCAAGGTAAAATGACATCATCCAGATTTTTTATTTTTTGTGTGTTTTGTGAATTGAAAGCAGGGCTTCTCTGCTCTACCACCAAGCTACATCCTCAGTTCCTGGGGCCTTTGTGTTATAAGGTAAAGCCTAGAAGAGTTAGGGGCCTGTTTTGAGGTCACATGGTGAATTTTTTAAGGGCACCAGCCCCAGAATGCAGGTCTCTTGCTTCCCAGCGCTTCCCACTGCAGGCTACTTGAGCTCCATCTGCATGTTCAGTAAGTCAGCAGCGGACTATGGCTATATGCAAATATGCGGCACAGGAAAGAACGGGTTTGGTTTGTTCTGAGTTCCTGGCACACAGTTGCTGAGACTCTTGGAATTTCCTGTGTCATACCTTATTATTCATAATCTGCTTGTTTCAGCCACACCCGAGCCCATACTAAATGGTAATTCAGAGTAAGGCTCCAGATGGCTTCAAGAGATGGGCTGGCCACCAGAAAGACCAAACAAGGAACACAGGGTGCACACTTTTGGCCCTTCTTGTCTTCAGGGGCCTGTAGGTTAATGGAGACTGGGTTACAAAAACTCTCAAACAGTGAGATTTGGAGAGCTTCTGGCTCGAGGTACTGGGACGGTGGAGTGCCATGGCCCCCACATCGTGCTCTATGCGTATCTCGTCTGGCTGTTACTGAGCAGTAGCCCTTATTAATAATGATTGGGAAACAGTGCTCTCCTGAGTTCTGTACCTTGCTCTAGCAAATTACTGAACCTAAGGAGCAGGGTTGTGGAACCTCTAGATTTATAACTGGCTGGTCAGAAGTACTGGGAGCCCGTGTAACAGGTACCTGAACCGAGGTGGTCTTGTGGGATAGAGCTCCCTCCATAGGTGGGGTGTATGTGTAACTCCCTGAACTGCACCACTGAATATTCATCTGGGTGGAGAAATGACATACACTTGGTAATACCCCAACTTGCATTTCAGTAATGTCTGAAGAAAAAGTTTGCACGTTAGTCCAAACTCTGATGTTTTCTATATGTGAAATACACACTGGATTTTTAGAACTTAAAATATTTCTTTAGTAATGTTTTTTGTGCTGATTACTTACTGCAATGGTATTTTGGAACCACTGAATTAAATAATGTATTCCATTAAAAATAAAATTCATTTTATCTTTAAGAAAAGATACTATATGTAGCTTGCACTGCTGTTTCCAACAGCACTCATGTGAATGCTCTCTTCATCAATACTGTTCTATTCATTACTTAATACGCTTTCTTGCCACGGCTAAGGGCAATTTCCTGGCTATCAGCTTGAGATCTTTCAGAGGTTCTTTATGGGATGGTGAGGTTACTCAATAACTTTTATAAGAAGTCATGATGAAGTATGCTTGAAATGTCAGTTTTGACTGAGATGCAAATCTGCCATGCCACTAGCAGTTTAAACTCCAGCTCAGGAGTGGAGGCTGTAGGGTAGGTGGTTTGGGAGGTGGGATAAAGGACTTGTGCCACAGTGTGACCGTGCATTGTTTTGCATTGTTCATGAGCCCAGATGTAGAAAGGCTTTATCACAGGAGCCAGGATAGGGAGGGGCCTGCAAAAGGTTTTTGCAGGCCAACCTTGTCTGTCTTTCTTGGAACCCAGTGTCGTTCCCTTTACCTATGACCTGAGAAATGTGGAGCATCCAGACACTGAGACAGTAAATTCAGCTCCTGCTCAGCTCCAATCCAGCTCTTTCCCTCTTGACTGAATTTCAGGCATACTCCAAGGCATAAGGGCAGGTCCTAAGGCTGGTCCTAAGGAGGATGCCTGGAACTCCTTGGCTGCGTCACATGAGCCTTTCAGACTAAGGAAACCTGAGGCTCAAGGAGGAGGACACTGGTGCCTGGCTTAGAGACAGCTCCTTTGAGGTCAAGCCCTGAGATGAGAACTTGTATCCCTGTATCCCTGCTGGAGACAGAGTCAGCTCCAAGGGCTGAGCCACGGGAAGTGCTGTCTAGAATGGAAATCACTGATCATGTGTCTGTGCTGTTTGACAATTCCGTGATGCAGTAAAGTTTGCTACTGAACAAGACTTTAATGTTTCATGCCTAAAATGCACACAAATAAACGTACATAGGTAGTACGAAGAGGTGACCCAGACGAGGTGAGAACGACCTTCTCAACACAGCTTACTGGGGGCAGCAGGGTGAGAACCTCAGTCTTGGATCTTCCTAAACTCTGCAGAAGTGTGTCTAAAGCCTAGAAGCTCATGCCTGTTATTTCCTCAGCAAAGGCAGCTGTGACATTAGCAGGGCTGAGAGTGAGCTCTGCTTCGTTTCATCCCCTATCCTGAGTGCGAATCCCAGACATGACCCTCTTGAGGGCTCTGTGCTGCACAAAGAGCTTTACTTCACAGTCACGAGGGATGGATTTTCTTAAGAAATTTAATTCAAGGTGGTTAGTGAATGTAAGGCAGGTAGGTAATGCCTTCTTGAAAGTTAAAAGAATCCAGTTACAAAAGAAGCACTGTGTATAGTCTCCAATAGCTGAAAGTACAGTGGGCTCCATATTTTACAAAGTACAAAAAATTTTCATATACAAAGAAAAATACAAATAATGTGCAAAAACCATTTTCACAAGTGACAAATTTATAAAATGAATATGATAGAAAAAGCCCTTGATTTTTGTTATTCCCCAATTTCTTATATATTAACACAATTCTATTCCCTAATGTGTAGATAAATTTAAAATCTGGCTTATTTTTAATCTACAAAGTAGTTTATATTTTTAAAAAGGGAACTTTCATTACTGAACTCTTATGACTCGATCAGTTTAACTTTATATTAAATTATAAGCAGGTTATCTGAAAAACAAGGATATAGAAATCATATATACATATTTTTGAAATATTAGTTTGGTATTTGACATATTAACATCTCAAAATGAACACAACAATCTAGCCATCTAGGGCCCTGGCTGTTGCCAGCAACTGTGGCAGACAGGCTTTTCTGTTCTTCGTGGGTGAAGAGCGTCCTCAAGTCTTAGGCTAAACAAACACAAGGTTATCAAAAGGAAGGAGAATCTAAGAGCAGTTTTTACTTCTCATGTGTCGCAGTGTTATTTGGGTACTCAGCCATGCCACAGTGAGACCTAGTCAAAGGTGTGTGGTCAGAAGTAGCTGGCTTCAGTTTTTCTAACATCTTTACTTAATTAGCAGTTCAGTGCAAGTGTTGTGTAGGTTAATGCTTTTTGCAAGTTATTTTGTGTAACAAGCTTTCAGGGCACAGAAGAACACCCAGGAACAGAAGGGCCTGTGTCCTTGAGCACCCCTGGTTTAGAGGAATCAGGGTTTGGAAGCAGTGTGCTCCTGCTTTGGCCTGGTTGTTGCATCATTCCCTGGGTAAGCTTTCTCCACCAGAATAATCTTGTGCATTCCCTCTTTACTTGCTACCATGCGGTGATATTTCTTGTTGTGAACGGCAGAGTAGGGGCCAAGGAAGCACTTTTTGGCAGCACCAGAGAACTGAGCATCCCAAAGGTCAGAGCAGGCTCCTCTGATGGGAAACCCATTCTGTGTAGGATGTAAGAAGATCTTTGGAGGCTTCTGATTTTTGCTTTCTAAAAAGCTCCCCAAGGACATTATGACCTTGGAGAACAAACTGGACCTTCATGTCGGAGCATGGAAGCAGCTGGGGGCCATTTTGGCTAGGGGATGGATGACACAGGTTCAGGAGCATTCTTCAGATCCCCAACCTAAGATCCCATTAGAATAATTCAGTGCAAGATATGGGAAGGGCTGGGGCTCTGACCAGTACCCTCCCCGCCAGGTTAAGGAGATGTAGCAACCGCTGCAAGAGGGGACTGGGTAAATAAGCAAAAGATTCTTAGGCCTTGTGATGATTTGTTGTCTGTTCCACAAGGTTCCATACTCTTTTTCTGTCGGGCAATATGAGTTCCAATGCCTCTTCTGCTTGAGTTATACATGGTGTCAGGCATCAGAGATACAGTTCTGGATCCTGTCCATCCATTGCTGAGCACTCTGCCCATCTTGGGCACAGAAGTTATACACACGTTTGCTGGTCTTGAGCTATGAAACCAAGTGACAGAGAACCAGAGATGAAGTGCAAGGCTGCTGATGGCTTGGAACAAATGGCATATAAACCTGTGACTTTTCTTTCTATGCCACCCCAGAACCTCTCTTTTCTTTTTCTCTACTACCATACTGTCATTGCCTTTATAGTCACTTGATGTTTCCAGTTTCTAAAGCCACAGTGGGTGTGAACAGAAGGGGACTCACAGTGAAAAGGACACAAGGAAAGAAGGGCATCTTCCTGGGTGCTGCCTCTGGCTAGAGGGAAGGATCGGTAATGGCTGGAGCCTTGGCCTCTCCTGCATGGACACCAGTGCAGTGTAGGTGAGGAAGCTTTTTAAGAAAACCCTGATTTTTATTAGCTCCATGTTGTTGGCCTTTGTGTCCTCTTTCTTTAGTCAGGGCCATAATGGGAGTCCAGAGCCAAGGAATACAACCTCTGCTCTTTATGAAGACCTGCTTGACTCTAAGGACTAGATAAATCTCTTTCTATTGTGTGACTCATAGAATGCTCCAAGGTCCACCTCAGGGCTGCTGCAGATGTTAGAGTACACAATGATTAGGCGTGGCCAACGATGGCTATTTGTGGAAGGTCGGGCAGGAAGATTACTGGATATGGAGGAAGCAGCACTATTCCCGAAAGCAGCTGGTGACTGAGGTAACTAACAGCACTTTACAAGGAGTTCAGCAGTTTCCACGCATAGTTCTTGGGTACATGGACATCTACGCAAGATCAAGGCTGGGGACCAGACTGCTGACTTTCTGTTCCGGAGCATCTGCCATAGCCAAGGTCTGCCACCTACCACTGCTCAGGGCAGGACTGAATCAAATATGGGCAGAATCAGCAAAGGAGAAGACAAACTTACATCAAAGAAAGCCTTGTCACTTGTGTGCTTTGGGGCACCCATGCTTGGGCCAGCAGGGATGACCATTTCTACTTCAGCCAGATCAATGTGGCCTTTGCAGCTTGTGTCTTCACCCGAGTCATAATATCGCAGCTAGGACCAAAAGGATATAGATAGGATACAAGAGACACGAAAAGGGAAGACAGCATGACTTTCCAAACTGTATTTGATAACTTTCCTTTGTATCTTGCTTATGTATGCTAAACAATGCCTGGAAGAATACATAAAACATCAGTAACACTACCAACCTCCAGGAAAGAGAGAGAGACGTGGCTAGAAGGAATTGAGGAAAAGACTATGGAGTTTTGAAATCTGAGTAGATGAATTACATATAGAAGATTAGTCAACACCATAAAATATATCCTTAAGGCACATATAAAATTCCTAGAAACTGGTAAGAAGGAAGATAAGTAATCTAGAGGAAAATAACCTATAAACATTTGGAAAGATGACTGGGCTCACTGAAAGTAAAGTAAATGAAATTAATGAGATTTTACTTTTCAGTTAGATTGAGAAATATTAAAAATTGCTGGTATTAGTAAGGCATCAGGGTCTGGCAAATGCTGATACTGGGACCATAATTTGTTAGAAACCCCTTTGGAAAACAATTCAGCAGTATCAAAACTAAAATTAATATATTTGTGGGCTGGAGATACAGCTCAGTGAACAAGTACACACTTAACACATGCAAGGCCTTGGGTTCAATTCTCAGCACCACAGAAAAAGAAAAGTTTGTGCCTGATAAAACATTCTTTCTTTCTCTAGAAAGTTGTTCCACAAAAATAATAAACCAAGGGGTTTCCTTCAGAACTATATTCATTAGCTAAGTAGCTGTCTTTCAGTGAAACCACGGTTAATTCAACCACAGTCTATCAATAAAATGGCTTTCCCAAAAGAGCATGGAAGACCTCCATTATGTACTGATAGACAAAAGAGAAGCTTAACATTTGAAACAGGGGGGACTTTTAGATCATTATAAAACCTGGCATAATAATCATGTGTTACTTTTGTAATAAGAGAAAACAAAAAATATTTAAAAAGTAGTTTTCTGAAAAGCCTTATTGACTCAATTTGAACTTCAACGTCTTATACATGACAGGAATGCGTCTTTTTTTTTTTTTTTTTTTTTTTTGTCTTTTTGAGGCAGGGTCTCTTTATGCAGTTCAGGCTGGCCTTGAGCTCACTTTGTAGCTTAGGCTAGTCTCGAACTCGCAGCGATCCTCCTGCCTCAGTCTCCCCGAGTGCTGGAAGTGTCTTGTGTCTTTATCATTGCAGCTCTAGCCTTAAACTTTTGTGTCTCCCCACAGGGTTGGTATAAAGAGGGATAAATGGAAAAACTGTGTCTCTCTCATGTTAAAGAAATCCCAAAGATTGGTAAGAATATAACTATAATTTGATGTAATTTTAAATTATAGCAAAATTATGGCATTCTCCCATGTTACATTTAGTGGTTTAATGGAATGTTTCTGCACAGTGGAGGCTCAATGATTTCAGAGAGACTATTATTTTAGAGTAAAGCTCCCTAAAAGGGATTTCGTTTGTAGATTTGAAAATAAATTCTCAAAATCCTCCCACAGTCTCTGTGACCTTTATAAAATCCCTAGAGCAGAGGAAAAGGTGGCCTCCTAATAGTCTTCCTCTGGAGGAGTTCTCTGGATGCAGGTCCCATCAGTGTATCATACAGGGAGAGTCCAGAAATTTCCCAGAAGCCTCCTCTGCACAGATGAATGCATGGGGAATTAGTAGGCAAATCCTTGGCTTCCAACTCACTTTCTTGTGGTTAGAACAAGACCACATGACTCTCACTGGCAAAAGGTGAAGAGGAGTGAGGTTTGGGTAAAAATCACTTTCTGAGACTAGTAGAGCAAAGATCATCATACTAAGGATACTCTTGAGCTGCGAGAGCAATAGCTAAGAATGAATGCAGGGTAAAAGATTTCTTAACATGCTCAGCAAGGTTTAGTGTACTACCTGCCCAATGAGAGATCAAAGTTTAGATAGGAGTATCGCCTTCTTGTATATCCTTTACCTTTGCTGCTGCAGCCATCTTTTGAGGGTAACCTTCTTTAGTAGCCTGCATAGTGATGAGCACTATACTGGTGTGGTGCAATAAACATTTGCTGAAAACTAATGCCTTCAGTCACAAATGCAAGGATGAAGGGCCCCTGCAGTCTGGGGAGTGCTCCCAGGCACATGCTTAGATGAGCATGTGGTATGCACATAATGGGCTCAAGCCCTTGTGTGCTTCCTGACCTGGGTATGAGATCAGGCAGCAGAAATGGTTCTAGTACTAAAAAGAGTCCCATGGCTCTGAGCACTTGGGATTCAACTGTCACCACCTCTATCTGCACAAGACAGGGAGAGGATACTTTGGAACTTTGTCTGAAGTCTACTGCCCAGGGTCAGAGACATCTGGGACCTTGAAAGAGGCCCTAGGACAACAGTCTGTACCTGAGGAATAAGTCTATCTGCTGACAGCCACATAATGGCCAGGCCAGCCACATAATAGGCCTGAGTCAATGGAAGTAATTTCTTTAGGCTTTAACAGTATTACCTGATGTTTTGTTACATCCAAAACAAACCAACGGGGTTTCCAGCCTTTCAGCAGAGCCCCTCTTTTGTAAAGTGTTCCCTCAAAGGACCTAGAAGAAATCACAACAGAACAGGTACTTTAGTTTTCATTTTAAAAACGCTGTAAAGGGATGCCTGTTATTTTTGTCAAGTCTATTTTTACTCTAGAAGGAAAAAAAAAAAAGCCTGAGTTTTCCCTGGAGTTTTGCTACTAGAACTTTGGGAGAAACAGCTTTTTTTCCACAGGGATTACCACATTTGTGAGGGCAGGGACAGCTGTTAGGGGCCATCTTTTGTTGAGATTGATGAAACAGAAGGAAAAACTGAAGGGAAGTTAGGAACAGAAGCATGAAGACACTGTGAGAAATCAGTATCCATTGGCTGTACTAGTTTTTTGTGAGTGAATTCCTTTTTGCTTTGGCTGGCACAAGCTGGATTTCTAATGTTTGCCATTGCAAAACTGCTGATTAATATATACATGCCTTCAAAAGTATATATGCAAAAGCAGACTTGAGATAATAACAATCACGAATCAACCATAAATGACTATACCCTGTTGATACTCTTTTTAGCTATACTGTTGAAATTTTTTCACTCTTTATAGAACTACATCACCTGTTCTCATCATTCTTGGATGTGTACAGGCTGTAGAGTGTGGCTGCCCTGCGCTCCACTCCGTTGGATGGTGAGACGGTGGTGTTCTGTTCCTCATTCATGCTGGTGTCTGGCAGGTGCAGTGCGGGTCTCTTCTGATAGGAAGGTAGGTTGGCAGACACAATTCCTGGGGATCCTAAGGGATGCCTCTGGAACTAGAAAGGACAGAACAGGAGATAGGAAAAACTTTAAGAAACAGACCTGATACAGGGTTGGGGATATCAGTGGCACAGTGCCTGCCTGGCAAGTGCAAGGTCCTGAGTTTGATTTCCAGCACACACACACACACATAAAAAAAAAAAAAAGCAAAGAAAGAAATTGATCTGGTAATTTCATGAATACAAATTTATCTCAAGGGGGAAAAAAAAACCAGACTGATGGGCAAAGATATTTATACAAGGATATTTATCCTGGAGTTGTTCATAATAAAAACTAGAAAACTAGAAACAACCTAAATATCCATTATTAGGCAGCTAGTAAAAAATTTGTTACTTTTGTATGATAGAGTTCTAGACAGTTACACATGCTAATACTGATTCATACACAGTGGCAAAAAGGACATGTATGTTAACATTAAGTAAAAAGGCCAAGTTAAAAACAGTTATGTACAGTAAATTCATGATGAAACAAGTTTGGCAACACAGTGGTTTATTTTTGGTTATAAATTATGGATGACTTTCATTGGTTTTATAACTATATACATATATATATGTGTATGTATATATATATATATATATACATATATATATATATATATATACATATATATATATATATTTTTGTACTGGGGATCGAACTCATGACCTTGTGCTTACCAGGCAAGCGCTTGAGCCACTGAGCTAAATCCCTAGCCTGTATTACCTTATATTTTATAATATACATCTACATTTTTTTGGAAAGAAGGTCTCACTATATAGTTCAAGCTGGCATTGAACTCACTATGTAGCCCAGGCTGGCCTCAGACTCATGATGATCCTCCTGCCTCAACTTCCTGAGTGCTATGATTACAGGTATGTGCCATCACACTGGGCCAAATCTCCATTACTTTCACAGCCAGAAAAATAATTTAAAAATTTTTATTTTTTTCTAGGGGAAAGAAGCACAGAGGCAATACCTACCTGCATCCTGCGTGATAAAAGCAGCTGAACTGTCACTGAACACAAGGGACAGAGGCTGGATGATCCCTTGTCCACAAAGGTTCATTCTCACTCTCGACCTCTCCTTTCTGAAATGCTTGTCAAGACACTCATCTATTTTAATTTCCCTTCTGATGTGTTTGCAGCCAATTTGATATGGGTTCAAATGATGATGCTACCACCTACCAGCTGTGAGAGCTCTGTGGTGTTCTCTCATGCATGAGATGGGACCCGATTCCCTTACTGTGTGCTGCAGAGGATGTAAAGTATATCTGCCACTAGGCACAGTTCATTTCACATGTTATGTGTTTGATAAATGTTTCTTAAGTCAGAAACAGGAAATGGGCCATGAGAAGCAGATAAATACTTCTTAAATCAGAAACAACAAAGGGAGTAGGAGCAACAGAAAGTAGCATATTTTGTCATTTTAAAATACTTTTATTTTTTCTGGAACAAACAGGGCCTTGGCATTCCCTCCTCCCTTATGTGGTAGAAAATCAGCTGAAACCACAGAGGCACTGAGATAGAAAAGAACCTAGTAATTTCTCTGGATTCAGTGCCCTAAAACATAAATTATGTCACTGTGGCAAAGTGAGGCATTCAAGAAGTATTTGGGCATTTGGAACTTTCAGCCTGGGACCCCTGGGACGTGATCCCTCCCTTCCCATGTGTCCCTCTGGTCATAAACTCACCCTGGTCCTGTGACCTGGGCAGTGGGCCCTATCTGACCTAGCACCCTCAAAAGTTCAGAGGTAACTCCTGGGGATGGTACCAACTCACATGGTCTGCTCTTGGCTCTTCCTTAAGGTCCATGGTTACCTTTTCCCACAGCTGCTGCCATTTCTCAGGAGTTTGGTTCAATTTATGCTCCAATTTTTCAATTTCCTGCAATAAAATGAAGAGTAATTTTCCAGTAGATCAGTATATCACAGAAGTCAGGATGTGCCCCAGAGTCATGTTTCCTGTGTGTTGGGCCCACAGAAGCAGCACAGCAAGAGGGCAAATGAAGAAAGTGGCAGACATGAGAGGTCTCCCACCCAGCAACAGTGGTGGGAGCATGTAGTGTTGTGAAGCACTACAGCAAAGATGAACGCGACCCATAATCGGGCTTTTCTTACAGACTGGGTTAAACAGTAAGGGATGAAATATATGGCCCAAACACCTTCACCCTCAGACAGCCCATGGGAAATCTGATGGCCAAAGCAAAGGTCAGGCATTTGGCCTGTATTCCAACCCTAATGGCTGAGGTAGATGAGAACTCTACCCTTGAGAGAAGCTCTTCGACTCTGGTAACTCAAACCAGATGTGGAAAGAATGAACCAAGAAATGCCCAAGGAGATGGATTTCCCTTCTGGCAGGTATCTGGGATAGTGCCATCACTACAGCATACTTTTCCTGGCCAGAAAACCAGAGGGATAGGACTCTTCAGGAACTGTCTGGCCCACAGCAGGGCTCACAACTGTTCCTCAGGCTGCTACTGCCAGAATGGCTTTGGTCCAGAATATTCCTAGCACAAGGTGGCTGGCAGTAGTCCCATCAGGCCATCAGTTACCCACACTTCTGACCAGAGGAAGTAAAGTACCCATGAAAGCCATAGCCCAGGCCTGACTCAGGCTGCTTGGACAGCTTGGACAGCTAAACACTGAGAAGCTGCTGGAAGGAGTAAACCACTCCATTGTTTCAACTGTTTCTCTTTTCCGTTAGTTAAACCTGGTGCCCACATATAGGAACAAACCCGGTTTCTGTAGATTCCAGAAGTGCCACCTGTAACACTAACCTAGGATAAGGACAAGTGTGCCCTGAAGTTTGTAAGCCAGTCTTAGCTGAGTATCCTAGGGATATCTATGTTCCCTGGAGCCAAGATGTCCAGAGTGTGTCTCCACACATAATTGACTTACACTGAAAAGGTTGGTGAGAGCATCGGGCTGAGTACAGTTGACATCATCATAGCATGGCCACACCGTCTTTCTCCTGCTGTGGGGCCCAGCTCCTCCAGCTAGATTAGACTCTTCAGAAGGCAAGTGCTTTGGAGCCAGCATCATCCAGTCATAAGAAGGCCCTGAAGACAGGGTCTCCTGTACGTAATAATCCCACTTCTTGAGGCTGGAGATATTTACACTGGGCTTCAAGGCCTGTTTAGAGAAAATTCTGAAAGCTTACTGATAGGCCAAGTCCTATCATTTTCAGGGTCCAGGGCTAGTATATGAATTTGGGTTCAAACACCATCCATTTAAATATTTAGAAGTTATAGATCAAGATAAAGTATTAAATAAAATATGTTCTATCCTCTTACTTTGATGAATATAACCTCCTAATGACTAGGAAGGCCAGGTTCAAATAAAAACATTCTTAAGATTCCTCAGAATTCTAATCTAGGAATTGGTAACCCTGGGGGAACTGCCCTAGCTCTCAGTCTATGGTTTAACTTCCTCCTCCCTCCACCCTGGCCTTGTATGAATATTGTGTATAGCTTAGACCACGAAGCCAAACGGTCTACTGCCTGCCAAATATCTTGCTATCCTTTGGCCTAAGGGTACATACACCACTTTGGGAGGCAGACAGAGAGATAGCCTGGTGAGTGGCTTGAATTTGGAGAAAGTTTCAAGGTACCCAGAGCATGGTTTAGGTGAGGAGAGGTATATAAGCACATGCCTTCAGTTTCTTGTACTCCTTGCCTTCTGAGGAGGGTGCAGCTATGGGAAGACCAGAGTGGGGTTCCAATGCATGGGACCCAGGGGGAGGGGCCACTTTTGCCCCTAAATAAAGGTACTATTGCTTATCAAACCCACCTGTTCTATCTCAGGGCCTATGTCATGGAGATGCACATGAAAGAGCACTGTTTCCCCCCAAGATACACTAAACTTCTTGACTGAGGCTGCAAACATATCTGCTTTCCACACAAGTACATTCCTGAATGTTGCACAGAAGAACTTATAGAAAAAATTTTCTAAAGAGTTGTAGATTTTGCAACTTATAACTACCTGATGTGATTTCAAGTTTTATTAGCTCTTTGTTCTAGGAAAAGCTGCCTTGCTTCAATTTTCTTGACATTATATCTTCTGGGTTTTAGTGGCCAGCTTCTAATTTTTGCTATAAGAATTTAGTGAATAGTCTTCATCTCCATTATAACCCAAGTATCTTGGACTTTTAAAAGCTTTTGATATGAAATTTAGTCAAATTCTACTAAACAAAACTTAAATAGCTTATGTATAATAAAAGTAAGGAAAACTTTCACACAAAATATTCAGAAAGTGAAAAGCTTCTTACTCTACCTCTATTTCCGTTGGTGAATATAAATAATTAAAGAAAATGGGACTCCTCTTATGCATTTTATCAATACACTCCCAGATACAAATTCCTTTCTTGGCATGCTTGTCTCCTTTATCCTCAAATAAAGTTCCTGTAAATAAAAAAATTTCAACAAAATGCAAGTTAATAAATTAATATTCTGCTTAGAAGTATGAGGCATACAGCAGATGAAAAGGTGAAATACTTCTTATGATTCTATGCAGAAATCTTAGGAAATAACTACAAACTAAAGACAGGAATGAACTTCACAGCTACGTGGAAACAAGTCAAAGTGGAAGGAAAACATCAGTAAGCTTTTCTAGGCAGTTAGCAATACATCCTGACTTCCTCCCACTCTTATGGCTTGCATCTACCTCAAGAGCCATAAGTCCCTGCCAAGAGACATTCTACACATTTTTCAGGGAAAAAAATGGAAGGATTTAAGAGGTGATGTGATAAATACATGATTTTATGTTTCTTGTTTACGTTGTTGACTCTTACGAACCATTTAAAATTTTTTGTTTAGTAGTGTATACCACAATTCATTGTCAAAGAGATTCTGCATGACAGAAAAGTATATACCATGTTCTGGGGGAAATTAAAACAAAGCGGAGTTTAGCAAGGTATTTCAGGGATTTTTCTGACACCATCTTTGTATTTTTCTTTCTTTCTTTTTTTTTTTTTTTTTTTGGTCTTTTTCCTTTTTATCAGTACTGGGGATCAAACTCACGACTGCCTGCTTGCAAGGCAGGCGCTTATGCTGCTGAGCTAAATCCCCAGCCCTGTCTTTGTATTTTTCAAACAGTCACTTGATTGCTCATTATGACCCCACCTTGTTTGTTTTCTGCATCACTGGGCTACATCCCAGCTCTTTTTTCCAATTTATGTTGAGACAGGATCTTGCTAAATTGCCTAGGCTAACCTTGAACTTGTGATCCTCCTGCCTCAGTCTCTAAGAAGCTGAGATTTCAGGTGTGCCCCACCAGGCCTGGGCCTCTTTGTTTTTAGTGGGGAGGAAGATGAGTCAGGAGAGACAGGATTCTGTAAAAATCCAGGAAGGGTTGTCTCTCTCAGCAGTACTAGCTCACTTGAATGAAATACCTCAGTCCAAAGTCAACAAGGATATTATTACCAGTGTGTGAGAAAAGAATGTTTCAAGCCCAAAATGTGGGATCAAGACTAATGTTTTCTTCCTTGCAGGGTTCAGTGGTTCTCAATCTAGATTATACATTCAAAAAACTAAACACTTAAAAAAATCCCACTGACCAGATCTCACCTCACACCAATTACATCAGAATCTCCGGGGATAGGTCTCAGCTATTAGTCATTTTAAGAGTTCTCCAAGTGAGGCCAATATTTGAAATTGAGACTGCCCTAGGGCTTGGGATGGACTTTTAAAATCCCCTCACTTGTTGCTCCTCTTTGGACGAGGTATGGATTACACAGGATGGCTGTGTGGTATCAGCCCCAGGAGGACTAGGCTCTGGACACCTTTATAGACAGAAGGAGAATGAGCTGAAACCAGAAAGGACAGTACAAGATCTAGTCCTCCTTTCCTCACATAACCCCTTCCTGTCATATTGGTGATGCCTGTTGACTGGCGCAAAGTCCAACGGATTTTTCTTACAATATTCAGATTGCTATCTTAGGGTACATACAAATTTAGGGAACACCCTACATACAATTTGAATCATCAGCTAATGTTAAATCCTATCAAATTACAGTCTTATAATCCAGTACATAATAACATATTATTTTTTCAGGACACAGGAGAATTCATGATGTTTACTTTTCTGATGAAATTTTTAAAATTGTGACTGATGTACTCTAAAACAGTGGTTGAGATTTTTTACTTTACAGCTGTTGATTTTGGCAGATAGAGGTCTTTATCACAGCTGTTGTAAATGATATTTCACTGTGTAGACTTCATAACTAGTGTGTCTACCCAAACACAACAGGAATGGATTTGAGTCCTGTGTCTGGACAAAAGACACAAAAACAGGCTTTCTAATTAGGTGGAGTGGCCCTTGGTAGTCCATCTGTCCAGGGAGGAGGCTGGGTAGATGATCTCCAAGGACTCTTTGGCAACGACATTCTACAATTCTAAACGTATGTCCTGTACTTTATGAAAACATGTTTACGATAAGGATGGAAATAATCACATTTTCAAAAAACCATGATACTCTTTTGATATATACCAAAGTATTCATGTTTTATTTCATTTTTTGCTGTGTGACAGGCCGGGAAAATAACTAGTTTTTTAGATGAGGAGACAAGTTCAGAAAGATAAAGTACTTTATTCAGTACACCATCTGACTTAATTTCTTGCTCTCCTTTACTGGAGAATGGGTGGTTCTCAGCCTTGACAACACAGTGGAATTACCAAGGGAGCTTCAGAAAGCTGCTGATGCCTATAACCAACATTGTAGATTTGGATGCAGTCTGGAGGTTGAAAGTTTTAAAAAGTTCTCCAAGAGATCCCAATGTCCAATAAGAACCACATCTGCAATCTCTAAGGTAATCTGCTGATCAGTTTAATTTAGCAAAACAAACTGCTCTACTGAAAATCAAAAACAAAACCAGAAAACTGCTCCAGGGAGACACCTATTCACACCAATATTTGCATATGCTGTTCCTTTCAGGGACAATGTGATTCCTCAGTCACACGGATTAGTCTGCTTTAGACCCGGCCAGAGGCAGCTGTAACCAGGTCTGCTTAATACCTTCCTAGCACACAGTGCTTGAGAACTTGTTTCTGAATGTAGATGAGGAATGACAATTCCTTGAGTTAATAAAGGTCTGAAAGTATAAACAGGATGGGATGATCTGACCAGTGTTCCCTTTACCAAAAGTATGAAATATCATGCCAGACAGCTGCAATAGCATGACTTGAAAAGCAGTATTTTCTGATTTGATTTTCAGCTGGGAACACCAGTATTTGCTTGTCACTAAAAAGTTTAGACCTCTTTATGAATACTCTGGTATAAATAATGTACTAAATGATTATTTTATTTTTTTGTTTGCTTGTCTTCTTAACAAAAATAATCATGCATTTTCCTTACTCCATGGCAACAAAAGAATGAATCCAAATTCCCTTGAGAAATGTTTTCATAGGGACTTTCAGAATGTACTGTTTTTTTCACTCTTGATATTTTGGTGTATTTTCTTTTGATAAAAGACAATGAAAATAAATTTATCCATTTGTAAATTAGGAAATATACAAATATAATTTTCAAGTTACATGTTTGTTAATGTGTTCAGAATCTATTCTTTACAACTATTACTCATACTAAAAATTATGATAGTAATGTCTAATAAATATACACAAAACAGTTAAGATAGTTATATTACTAATTGCTATTAGTTATTGAAAAGAAAGTTTTATGCCTATATTGTTTGATCAATTTTTCATGCCTGTGTCTTGCAATATGAGCAATAACTTTGAAGATAACAGTATATAATATACTAACCATTATTACTCTCCTACAATCTTGTTTTGAGATTTTGTACCACTGTTTTTTTTTTCATTTCAAATTTTTTAAAAATAAAATTTTCAAGTGCTTACTATGTGTTAGTGATTGTAGTAAGAAATTTATTATTAATTGGGCAAGGTGGGGCATTCCTGTAATCCCCGCGCTTGGGAGGCTCAGGCAGGAGAATTGTTTGTAAGTTCAAGATCAGCTGGGCTACAAAGTGAACCCAAGGCCAGCCTAAACTGCATAGTGAGACCATGTCTCAAAAAGACCAAAAAAAAAAAAAAAAAAAAAAAACCCCAAAACATATATAATTTCCTGAAATGTTCATTGTGGTTCTAGCAGGTGGGATACACTGCCTTCATTTTAAAGATGAAGAAGCTAAGGCCAGGAGAAGTACCGGATTCTCCCAAAGTATATACCAAAGTGCTAATGGTTCATGGCATTAACTGCTATTCAAACTGCCTCCAATGACTGGTACCCTCCCTAGCAGAGTGTACCAGGGAGTACACTAAGTTAAATAAGACTTCTAAAACTGTGATTTCACTTATAGCTATCAAAATAGTAAACAGGTCTAACTTTACCAAGGTGCTACGGAATGACTATGTGCTATCCATAAGAGATAACACAGCACAGACACAGCACAAAATGTCAGTGTCTGAGCAGTTATTTGTATCTACTCTGCATTTGTAGTTTGATATAAAATCCTAACTCCGAGCTTGTCTCAGTCGGCAGTAGTGATATTGCTCATCCAAACATGTCATAAAAATTACACAGAATTGCTGGGCACGGTGACATGTGTCCGTAATCCCAGAACTCAGGAGGCTAAGGCAGAAAGATCACTGAGAGTTTGAGAGGGGGCTGTATTATATGGGGAGCCTGTGAATTAAAAAAATAAGTAAATTTCATTAAAAATGTAAAACAAAAAAGATGGAATGAGGACATATAAATACATACCATGCTCTAGTCTTTCATAGTCTGAATCCAGGAGAAAAGTTTTAAAGCGATTGGATACATAATGGAAGGCCAAGAACTTTAAGTAATAAAGATTGAATTCAAATTCTGCAGGATACTGGTTATGAATCTGAAACATATAAAGAAAAGAGTAAAAATCAAACAGAATAAAAATAAATGCCATGTCACTGAATGCTGATCTGATATATGCAAGAGACTATTTGGTCACTCAACAAATACTTGAAAAGGGAAGAAACCTGTTCTTAAAGAAACAAATTAAGAGAAAACAAACAAACAAACAAAAAACCAAGTACCCAAATCTCTAACATGAGTAGAGCTTTGAAGGGAACCAGATTTCTGAGCACTTAATTGTGTCAAACATCCTATTAAGGTTTCTATAAATATAATTTAATTTCTATAGCATTCTAAGACAGACATTATTACTCTCATTTCACATTTGATAAGGTTTAGGATCAGCAAAATTATTTACCCAATGTCATTCAACAGAAAATACTCAGCCCAAATCTGAACACTGGTTCCAAGATCTGTGTGCCATTCACTATATGATACTGTGAGAAACACCTGACAGTAGATTAACTTAAATTATGGTTCTTGCTTTCCAAGCATCTATGGTACAGTAGTGTGAAACACAACAAGAAAAACTGTACTTACAGAAGTTTGACAATGATAAAATTGGGAAGACAATATGGTGGCTTAAGGGGATACTGAAAGACATTTTCTAGACAACAGAATATGTGCATATCTGCAGCAAACCAGAAGGAACCAACAGAGAGAGCACATAGTTTAGAGAAAGAGCTAATCAGGAGAGTAAGTCCCTAGAAAATTGAGAACAAATGAGGCTAGGACTCAAACATGGAAAACACCTTTGGAAATATGGGGGATGGAGTAGATAAAGATACGTTCAAATTCTGAAGGAAAGGGAGAACACATGCTTGTTAACCCCATTTTTCAATAGGAAATTAGGCAGCAAGGTCCCTGGACACAAGAGTAAGGATGAGGGGATAGTATGGGAGACAAAGGGGAGGGCAAGGTCTATATGTCTATAGCACTATATGTCTATAGCACACTTTAGACAAGCTGCATGCAGACTCTGTGGAGCCACCCTATATTGCCAGATGGTAGGCTGATGACCTCGTGACACTCCCCAGTGCACCCGGCAATCTCTCCACTGCACTGCTCAAACAATTGCTTGTGACCAGTTATGAATTTTATTTGGCTAAGTTCCAAACAAAATGTACTTGCTTGAAAACTATTTCAAATGAACACTACAGACAGGTTAAAAGTCGGTTTTCCTCCATGTTAATTTAGCTATGGAAAATGAGCAAGTATGTGTGTAACATGTTCATTGTCCAAAAGACCAGTGGAAATTTAAGTTGTAATTTGGCTGTCACTGATTTGTCCAACTTTATTGTCTTACTTTCTGTGATGATTTCAGTGTTTTTTCCTACAATATTTTCCTAGGGTTTTTTCTGGTGAATTAAAATTTTAACTTGTAAGTAATGCAAAAATAAAACAGAATTTAAGAAGATGCATTAAAAGAGAATGAAATATATGCAATGGGCCTACATTCAGTGGTGCTGTTTCCCTGACAGGGCTCTGAACTGCTAGGTTCTGTTCAATCCTCTATGTTGTTAAAATTGTAAGCATTTGTATTAAGTATGAGTTTACACATCAGTGAAAATGAAGGCATTAGATACCATGGGTTTCCTGTGATTATGGTATATGAACAACTAATTATAGGACCAAATATATTTGAATTGTTGATAGTTATAGTTAAATAAAACAAGTTAATCTGGAAGTTGGAGGTTCAACATTATTTTAGAGCATCACACTGGGTATAATATGAGTTTATCTTAATGGTTATTAAAACTAGTAACTTCTGTTTCTATAATAGAAAATAAATTTTAAAAATTTCTTTTCTTTCCTTGCTCTTAGTCTCAACTGTTGTGTCCCTTAATACACCAATTCTCATTCAAATGCTAGCCTCTATTGATACACATGAGTAAAAGACACGTTGCCAGGAATGATGGGCTAACTGTGTTTGAAATAAGGGGAATGTTTTTATGGGAATTAATGGCAATGTCTTTTACTGTAATAAATTTAAAAAATTAAGCATTCAACACATTTTCTACTCACCCCTTGTATGCATACCAAAAGGTAGTTCTGGGTTAGACTGTGCACTGGCCTAGTTCTCTGGTGTGTTGGTTCCTTTCTTAAGCAGTATTCAGACCTCAAGTTTCCCACTTCACTATCTTTTAATGCCATAACGTTTTCTAGTTCTGTCTACTTTGGAGTCAACAGCACCATTGCAAGAAGTTAGTATACATGAGATGAAGGGTAATAATGAAGCCAGAGGCTAGCTGGATAGTGATGGGGACAGGCCAACATGGATGGACCCTAACAGTCCTTGAAATACACCTTCAGCTGTCACAGTCCTGCTCTTGGTTCACTGTTAACAGGGGAAGAATTCAGAATGCTTTCTACTGACCCAGGCAACAGCTGCCCTGTCCACATTTTACTTATCTGTTCTCCACAAAAATCACTTGGCTCATACATATCTGTCTTTCCTAGATTATTCTGATATTTAATATGTTCAAGAATATAATTTTAAAAATTCACTTCTGAGGTAAAGTAAGATGAAAATGAAAATGAATATGACCTTAAGCTGAACTTACAGGCATTTTAGGGTGATCGTATGTTAGGACTAAAAGTAAAACTCCTATGCGAGTGGAAAATTACTTTCACTGCCCACTGTTAACGAATGATTGGCCTCACCACAAACTCTGCCCTTTGCAGTTAGGTCAGAGACATAAGACTTTCCTGAGGCCTCTGGTAATCACCTTGCTGGAGGCAAAATTGGTGCTTAGAGAGCACTGAGGTGTGAGTGCTTGTGTGCACTAGTGTATGCATTCCTGTGTATGTGTCACAGTAGACAGCTAGCTAATAGCTATCAAGGTTAAAAAAAAAAAATCAACCTCCAAGTAGTGATCAGACCTACTAGAAGTAGAAGAGAAAGTACAGATTAACTTTTTACTCTTTAGCAACAGTGTAAGAAACAAACACATGAAAATGTTTAATGGAAAAAATAAGTGATTTGGACCTGAAGGCTGGGTTGATTAAATACCATATTTGGAATGTGACATTAAGAAATATAATGAATTTTCTGAAGTATTTTTTGACCATAATAGAAGAAGTGAACAGCTGATTGAATTTACAAAACAAAAATCTGATGATTAGATTCTAGTAAGCAAGAAAAATCACTTTCTCCATTTCTCCATCCAGGGGAATGACTGAATGTATATGATTAGTGTATATTTAAGTTTTTAAGAAAAATGGCCAAACTGTTTTCCAAAATGGCTGTACAATTTTTTTATTCCCAACAGTAGTGTTTGGGAATTTCTTGAAAAAATTGGGGTCGCTATTTGGGACTCTTGCACCTCACCATCGGTGTGCAGAGGAGGGGCTGGGCGGATCTGGGGCACCTGCATCCACCTCCCCGTGTGTCTGGAGGACTGTGGATATCTCAGCAAGCAGGGGAGCATCGCAGGTTCCAGAGGCCCCGCGGCCTGTGGTAAGTGCTCAGTGCACTCTGCCCAAAGCCCAGACTGTTTGGGTCCCTCCAGGCTTCCGGGTGCAGTGAAGTGGATAAGTGGGTTTGAGGTGGGTGCATAGTGTCCCTGAAGCCCAGTTTATCTGGAACTACGGAGTTCTAAACAGGCAGAAGAGGGCCATTGGTTCTACAGGCCCAGTGGCTTAGGGTAATGGGGTGCCAGAGTCTCAGGAGCTGCAAACATAGAAGGGGATTTCCAACAGACATTGAAGAAGCTTTCAAATAACACTTGAAACACAGAAATATAGGAAAATGACAAAACGAAAGAACAAATTACAACCTCAAACCTCCAGCCCATCTCAAGAAACCCTAGGAGCAATGTATATAGAAGAAAATATATGCCATTCACCTCAAATATCGGACACAATAGCTACTGAAATTAACAAGCAACTCCAGGAAGCTTTAAAGAAATGCAAACTTGAAATAATCTCCCAGGTAAAAGAAGAAATGATAAAAGAAATGAAAGGGATTCTAAATACATCTAAAGAAAACACAGTTAAAAAATTGGAGGAACTAAACAAAAAGATAGAATCCCTAGATGAGCAATATAAGAAACAAACAAAATACATAATGCAGATGCACAGAGATATACAGGAAATAAAAAACTCCACTGAAAGTTGTAAAAACCGCCTCAATGAAAGTGAAGATAGAATTTCAGACCTTGAAGACAGGATTGCAGCTAGTGAACAGGAAAGGAAAGATCTTTTAAAAATAACAAGGAATCAGGAAACAACAATTCAACAACTGCAAGATGATGCAAAGAAAAATAACATAAGAATGATAGGGATTAATGAAAAAGAAGGAGACAACATAAAGGATGTCAAGAGGATATTTAGAGAAGTAATAGCTGAAAATTCCTAAGCATGAGATCAGAAACTGACATCAGGATCAGTGAAGCATATAGAACTACAAATAGTCATAACCAAAATAAAACTACACCCAGACATATAATAATCACCATCCCAGAAATCCAACACAAGAACAGATTATTAAAAGCTGTCAGAGAGAAAAGACAGATCACTTATAAAGGAAAACCTATCAGAATCACAGCAGACTTCTCAGCACAAACAATAAAGTCAAGAAGAGCATGGAGTGAAGTATTCCAGATCCTAAAGCAAAACGATTTCCAACCTAGACTGATGTATCCTGAAAAACTATCATTCAAAATTGATGGTGAAATACGATACTTCCATGACAAAGAACAGCTGAAGAACTTCATGAACACCAAACCAACCCTGCAAAAAATATTGAAAGACAGTTTAGATACACAAAGGAAAAAAACACTAAGCAAAGCAGATAATTAAACAGAACAGAAAGATAAAGATGCAACAGCAGAGAGATAACATGTCAACAATAAACCAGCATTTAACAGTAATAACCATTAATGTAAATGGTCTCAATGCACCAATCAAAAGAAACAGACTAGCAGAATGGATCAAGAAACAAAATCCAACCATATGCTGCTTACAGGAAACCCACCTAACCCAGAAGGATACTCA